CACATTTAGGACTTTAATCCATTTTGAGTTATTTTTGTATAATGGTGTAAGAAAGTGATCCAGTTTCATTGTTTTGCATGTGGTTGTCCAGTTTGCCCAATACCATTTGTTGAAGAGACTTTTTTTCCCCCCATTGTATATTCTGACACATAAGTATAGGTTTATTTCTGGGCTCTCTATTGTGTCCCCTTGATCTATGTGTCTGATGTTACGCTAGTACCTTACTGTTTTGATTACTACAGCTTTGTAGTTTATCTTGCAATCTAGAATTGGGATACCTCCAGCTTTGTTCTTCTTTCTCAAGGTTGTTTTGGCTATTTGGGATCTTTTGTGGTTCCATACAGATTTTAGTATTATTCTAGTTCTGTGAAAAATGCTGTTCGTATTTTGACAGGGTTTGCATTGAATCTGTAGGTTGCTTTGTGTAATATGGACCTTTTAACAATACTGGTTCTCTCAATTCATGAGCACGAAATATCTTTTCATTCATGTCATCTTTCTTTTTTTTTTATCAGTGTTTTATAGTTTCATAGTATAGGTCTTTCAGTTCATTTGTTAAGTTTATTTCTAGGTATTTTTGGTGCAATTGTAAATGCCATTATTAATTTCTCTCTCTGCTACTTCATTATTAAAGTATAGAAATGCAACAGATTTCTGTATATTAATTTTATATCCCGTGACTTTACTGAATTCACTTATCAGTGCTACTGTTTTGACCTTACTGAATTCATTTATCAGTGCTAGTTTTCTGTACGTAGTATCATGTCATCTGCAGTTTTGCTTCTTGCCTATCAATTTGGATACTCTTCATTTCTCCTTCAGTGACTGTGACAAGGACTTCCAGTACTGGTTGAATAAAAGTGGTGTAAGAGGAGAGACACCTGGGTGGCTGAGGGGTTGAGCATCTGCCTTTGGCTCAGGGCACGATCCCGGGGTCCAGGATCGAGTCCCACATTGGGCTCCTTGTGGGGAGCCTGCTTCTCCCTCTGCCTATGTCTCTGCCTCTCTTTCTGTGTCTCTCATGAGTAAATAAATAAAATTATTAGCCAGCTGAGCCACCCACATGCCACATAGATGAGTTTTGCTTTTTGGTCCATTCAGCCACCCTGTGTCTTTTGATTAGAGCATTTAGTCCATTTACATTGAAAGTAAGTATTAATAGGTATGTACTTAGTGCCATTTTATTACACGTTGTATGGTTGTTCTCTGTTCCTTTTCTTGCTATGCTCAGTTTGTTGGCTTTCTTTAGTGATATACTTAGATTCTTTTCTCTTTATTTTTTGCATATCACTGGTTTTTGATTTGTGGTTATATTTAGGCTAATATATATATATATTTTAAGATTTTATTTATTCAAGAGAGACACAGAGAGGCAGAGACATAGGCAGAGATAGAAGCAGGCTCCCCGCGGAGAGCCTGATGTGGGATTTGATCCCAGGATCACACCCTGAGCCGAAGGCAGACACTCAACCACTGAGCCAGCCAGGTGCCCCTATATTTAGGCTCATATTAACATTTTTTGCATATAGCATTATTGTTTTAAGTTGATGGTTGCTTAAATTTGAGCCCATTCTAAAAGCACTAATTTTTTCCCCTCTTACCTCCCCACATTTTATGTATTATGATGTCATGCTTTACCTCTTTATTTGGTGAATCTTGACTGATTTTTACAGATATAACTGATATTTACTGCCTTTGTACTTTAATCTCCATGCTGTTTTTTTTTTTTTAAGATTTTATTTATTTATTCATGAGAGACACAGAGAAGCAGAGGCATAGGCAGAGGGAGAAGCAGGCTCCATGCAGGGAGCCTGATGTGGGACTCGATTCTGGCACTCTGGGGTCATGCCCTGAGCCAAAGGCAGCTGCTCAACCGCTGAGCCACCCAGGCATCCCTCCATGCTGGTTTTATAATTGATTAATCTACTTTTATTATGTTTGTATTGTGAAAATTTTTTCTTTTGTAATTTTCTTATTCCTGATTATGGCTGTCTCTTAAAATTAAAAGAACTCCCTTTAACATTTCTTACAGGGCTGGCTTAGTGGTAATGAACTCCTTAAATTTTTGTCTGGGGAAACTCTTTACTTATCCTATTCTGAATGATAGCCTTGCTGGGTAGAGTATGTGTGGTTGCAGGTTTCTTTCCTTTTAGCACTTTGAACATATCCTGCCACTTTCATCTGGCCTGCAAAATTTATGCTAAAAAGTCAGCTGAAGCCTTTTTGGTTTGCTCTTGTATGTAACTTTTCTTTTGCTGCTTTTAAAATTATCTATCATTACTTTTTTCCATTTTAATTATGTGTCTTGGGGTGGATCTTCCTGGGTTGATTTTGTTGGGCATTCTCTATGCCTCTTGAGTCTGGATTTCTATTTCCCTCCCCAGATTAAGGATGTTCTCAGCTATTATGTCTTCAAATAAATTTTCTGTCCCCTTTTGCCCTCTTCTCCTTCTGAGATCCCTATGATGTGAATGTTATTAGGCTTGATGGTGTTGTGGAGTTCCCTTAACCTATTCTTAGTATTTATTGTTCTTTTTTCTTTTTGGTGTTCATCTTGGGAACTTTCCATTACTCTGTCTTCCAGCTCACTGGTCCATTCTTCTGTCTCCTCTGATCTGCTATTGTGATTCCCACTAGTGTATTTTTAATTTCAGTTGATCTCTTCATCTCTGATTGGTTCTATTTTCTATCTCTTTGATGATGGTCCCATTGAGATCCTCCACTCTTCTCAAGTCCATCGAGTATCTTTATTACCATGACTGAATTTTTTATCAGGTATGTTGCTTATCTCCATTTCATTTGGCTTTTTTGCTCTGGTTTTGTCCTGTTCTTTCATTTAGGATATGTTCATCTATCTCCTCATTTTGTCTTTCTGTTTCTCTGTGTTAAGAAAGTCAGCTGTGCCTCCTTTTCTTGAATATAGTGGCCTTATGAAGAAGAGGTTCTGTGGTGCCCTGTAGCACAATGTCCTCTGTTTACCAGAACCAGACACTTCAGAGGTATCTCCTACAGGGGTTATGTATGCCCTGATTGTAGCTGAGCCATGTTTGCCTTCAGTCAGCTATAGTGGCCCACTTTACCTGTTGTGGGCAGGGTTTGGTCCCTGTGGTGTTAAAGGGCCAGTCTGGAGTTGAAATGGGATCGTAGTTGGGTGGTGTCAGCGGTCAGACCAGATCCCTGCTCTTTGCCTGTTTTCCTGGGGCTGTGGTAGTAACCAGCCTGCAAGATGTTCTCCCTGCCTTGTCCCTTGAGAGGCTTTTGTTGGTGGGCAGGGCCAGCAGTCCAATCAGATGCCTGCCTCCCCATCTGTTGACTGGGGGTGCAGTAAGCCCAACCTGACATGCAGGGCTTTCTCTTTGTGTTTTCCCCTGAAAGGTTGCTGGTGGGTGGGGCTGACAGAGTAGATGTCTGCCCTAAATCCATTTGCTGGGGCTGTAGTTGAACTGGTGTGTGTGGTTATCTTCTCCTATTTCCAGGGCAGGAGTCCCCTTGTAATGGCTGCTTGTGGGATATATCATGGCAGGAGCTGCTTTGGAGGGACTCCTGCCATTTGGGCATTGGATGAGGCAGATCCACAGGAGAACACGGGAGCTAGTTGGTGGTAGTAAGGTAGGTTTGGGGAGGGAGTGCTCCATGCTGTTCTGAAGTGTCTGGCTATCTAGACTTGGGGGTCTGGGGAGAAATGGCCCCTGGTAGCTCTTCTGTTCTTGGAGATGTATCCTCAAGATCTCTGCTCCTCCAACACAGGTTCTGAGATTAGTAAATAAATCTGCTTCCAGGTAGGTGTACCCCAGGAGCTTTTCAAACTGCTGCTTCTATGCTGTATCTGTGGGGTTGTTTGTTAGGCTGGCTCTTTAAGGGTGGGGACTCCATTTCCTATTGTCCTCCGGCTCTCCCAGAGCTAAGGCCACTGATTTTCAAGGTACCTGGAGTTAAGCCCTGCTGATTGTAAAAACCTGCAAAGTCAAGCTCCATTGCTTTGTAAAGCCAAAGGAAATGAGGACTCCTCTTTCCAGTGCAGGTCTCCTGTGTCTGGTGTGGCTGGGATCTGCTCCCCTCCCTTCTCTGTGCTTGTAGTGTCCCTCCAGTTGGTGTTTAGTTTGGTTCCCAACTGTGTCTCTGCCCATCCTACCATTTTCAGTGTGGTCCCTCTCGGTGATTAACTGCGGAATGTCTGTTCTGCCAGTGTTTGGGTTTGTTTTCTGGATTAGTTCCATTGCTGTGTTATCTAGGTATGTCCGTGGGAGGAGGTGAGTTTAGAATCTTCCTACTGCACCATCTTTACAGAAGTCCCATATGCCTGTGTTTTTAATCTTAGCAATCTTACTGGGAAAACACAGTCTCTCTGTTGTATTATTTTGCATTTATTTATAATTTTGTTCACATTTGACAGTTAAACATTTTTTTGTGTAAACTTTGTCCGTGTCTTGTTCCATTTTTTCCATTTTTTTCTTACTGAATTGTAAGAGCTCTTTGATATTGTGAAACCTAGTCCTGTTTTCATAGTCCTCCAAATATTTTTTTCCAGTGTATCACGTGTCTTTTGACTTCATTTCATGCCATACAGGTCTCTAATTTTTACGTTGTTAGATTGATAAATATTTCTCCTTATTGCTTCTAGTCTTGTCATGTTTGCAAAGGCCTTTCCTTAGAAATGATTCTTTAAAGATTCATAAAATAATGCAAAAAAAAAAAAAGATAATGTCTTAAAACCAAGATTATGGGGCAGCTCGGGTGGCCCAGCGGTTTAGCGCCGCCTTTGGCCCAGGGCGTGATCCTGGGGACCTGGAATCGAGTCCCACGTCGGGCTCCCTGCATGGAGCCTGCTTCTCCCTCTGCCCCTCCCTCCCTCCCTCTCTCTCTCTCTGTCTCTATCTCTCTCATGAATAAATAAAATCTTTAATAGAATAAAACCAAGATTACATAAACCATGACTGAGCAATGGTTAAATGAAAGAAATTTGTGCAGCAAAACTGTGTTATACACTTTGTGTCTCTTAGGTTTTCTCCTGCACTTTTTAAGAGAACTGGCAGAGTATCATCAGTCCAAGGCAAGCTGTGATGTGGAGACTCAGACAAGCTTGGCATTTCCTGGCAAAGACTCTCTTGGTAACTAGCCTTCTTTCGGAATTTTAATTGTTCTGTTTTGTCTTCAAATGACGAAATGATCTGATCTACTGTATTCCGCTTGTTCCTTGACTGGGAGGGATGTGACCCACGGGTGGCAGAGGGACTCCTTTCCTCTGGAGTCTCATTGGGAGAAGGGACCTGACCTGCTCTCCAGTATTGCTGCCTCCCCTCGTGACCGCTAAGGCCACACTTTCCAAATCTTGGGGGAATCCAAAGGCCCACATTCTTCCTTGTGTGCTGTGTTCAGCCGCTCATAACTGACACGTTCTTCCTTGTGTCGATTCTAACTTTGTTTTATTGCTACTAAGTGAGAAAGTCCTAGATGACTCGCATGGCACAGAGGTTAGAGAAGTCAGCGGTGTATCACTTCAATTTACAGTTGAGGAAATAGTAGTCCCCAGAATTACAGCAACCTGGAAACACTCGCTCTGGTGCAGAACTGCTATTAGAGTCCAAGGTTTTTAAAATTATGTTATTACTCAGTTTCGTGACGCTGCCTGAGTCTTAAGGAGTAACGGGGCTTCTAACCTGTAAGAAGATAAGTCTATAATTTATAAAAGCTACACTGTATAATTTGGCCTTTAATTTATTTTGGCATAGATTTTATTCCATTGGGAACATGGTACGTGCTTGTTCTAGAGCACTGCTGTCCAATAATATGAGCCACGTGCAAATTTTTTTTTTAAGATTTTATTTATTTATTCATGAGTGACACAGAGAGAGAGAGAGAGAGGCAGAGATACAGGCAGAGGGAGAAGCAGGCTCCATGCAGGGAGCCCGATGTGGGACTTGATCCCAGGATCAGGCCCTGGGCTGAAGGTGGCACTAAACCTCTGAGCCACCCGGGCTGCCCAACACATGTGCAATTTTTAATTTCCTTCTAGCCATAGTAAAAACAACAAACCCACAGGCAAATTTGTTTTAATATATTTTATTTAAACCCAGTATAACCAAAATAATATGACCAATCAGTATAAAAAAATTGAGGTTATTTTAGATAGAATTTCTGTGCGCAGTCCTTGAAATCTGGTGTGTCTTTTATACTTAGACCACATGTCAGTTCAGATGGTCACATTTCATCTACTCAGTGGCTGCATGTGGCTAGAGAGTCCTATATTGAACAGCACGATTACAGAGCATTTGGAAAATACAGAGAAGTAAATGAAAATATGTCTCAAATTCTCTAAAGAGATGAACACTGCCAATCTTAATCTACTTCTGCCAACCTTTTTTCCTAGGCATCCTTTCTGGTGGATGTTGATGTTCCACATGACCAAGATGCCTTCGGGGTCCAGGCATTCTGTGCATTGTTGATTCTGATCCACAGTTGGTGGGAGGGCTGTGGGTCTACTGGAGAGAGCACTGCAGTGAGAGACAGTCAGTAAACTGGTTTCAGTCCTGGTTCCACCATCACATAGTTGCTTAGCCCTGTAGGACTCAGACTGTAGGGACCACTATTTCCTTCTCTGTAAAGCAGAGTGGAAATATGGTGATCTTTGAGTTATTTTGAGGTCAGGGTTTTGAATGCATAAGTCCCCTTTAACCAAAGTCCACTGAAAGTGTGCTCTGCCTTGGCACTCAGGGACTGGAAAGAGATGCCAGTGTTTTCTGACTTGTACTCTCTGCTTTCTCTTCCCCGGACATCTGATGATGAAAATTTTCAGACATATGGAAGAGTTGAAACAGTTGCACACTGAACACTTCTATACCTAGATTCTCCCAGTAAATTTGTGTTATATTTGCTCGGTCACTTCTCTGTCCCATCCATTAATCCATCTTAATTTTTTGATGTTTCCAAGTAAATTGCAGAGATCCCTACACTTTCTCCGAAGCATACTCTTTGCTTTTGAACATTCTCTTTTCTCTATCTTAACTTCCTGTGTGTGTGTGTGTTTTTTTTAAAGCGGAAAAGCTTCAGCTTATTGATCATCAGTTTGCAGATGCCAACCCTCAGCGTCCCAAGTTAGAATCTTTAGAAATAAAGTTAAATGAATATAAGAAAGAAATAGAACAACAACTCCAGGCAGAAATGTGTCACAAGGTAAGCTCTGTCTTGTTATTAGCAAGAGTGATAGTTGTGCTTGTATTTTAAATGTCTTCATCTTACGTATAAGGAGAAAAAAAATCTAGAATCCTTATTGTGATAAACTCTTGCACATTTGATTTTTCTTTCTAGTTGATGTTGCTGTTTATGCCTTTAGAATGAATCCTAGAGGTACAGTGAATGAGATGAAACTAACGATGAGTTAAACTAAATATAAGTGGAGCATTAGTGTTAAACCTAACCATGAAGAGATAAGTTACTTCTTTAGAAAAATTACTGGTATTTACAATTATTTGTGATCACTTGGCAGTTGAAGTATTTTAAAGATACTGAAGTAGCAAAAATTAAAATGGAAGAGAAAAGAAAGGCTGAGAAGGAATTAGCCAAGTTTCGGAACCAATTTGAGCGAGCTTTACAAGCCAAATCTGAAGCCTTCATTTCTCGTGAAAGGTTGGCTCTTGAGAGAATTCAAAAGCACCAGGAGGTAACATTTTACATTTATCTATTGGGTGTCTGTTTCCTGCAGCTGTTAGTAGTTTGGCTCAAGGTCCGAGAGTGGGTTGGGACGCAGGCGGTTAGACGAGATGGAGCCCTCCAGGGAGTACTAGGGACTGGGGTCAAGAGCACAAGTGGAAGGATCGGCCTTAAAAAAGGATATGTAGACTTTCTTCCTCCAAAACTGCTGGAAGGATGAACTGCGGGTGCAAACATCCAGGTGGGGATTATGAGGAACTCATGTGGAATAAGCTCCATCATCTTGGGCAGATTTGAGGGTTAGGAGGGCAGCTTCAAGAAGAGGATCACCAGTTGTGGAATGGCTTTGTGGAGGTAGAGGCAGAGCAATCATCTAAAGCAGACAGGATTGATGAAACTGTTGAGGGACCCAACTGAGATGGGCAGCCTGCCACTGATACAGACCAAACCAAGTACTTGTAGACTACTGTTCTGTTACAGTTCTTGGGAAGGTTTGTAAGGTTAGCGAGGGTAGAAAGATAGAGGCGCTTGGGGGAGTGGCACTTTATAGAATTGCATTTACTTGGCTTGAGAAAAGCAGCCTATTTAAAGACCTTGGGGTTTGGTGGGTTGGTGAAGGAAACTAGAGGGGGGAAGGTGGGTGCCTACTAACCCAGGGGAGCAGGGAAGGCTGTGTGGCAGTGTCAGAGACATCAAGGACTAGGTCTGGGGATCCCGACAGGTGGAAGAAGCAGCATGGGCCAAGAGGAGAGGGTTGTAGGTGTCAGACTGGAAACAAAACAGTGTGCTGCCATGGGATCAAAGGGCAAAGTCCCAGGGGTAGTGGAGTCCAGGACTGCGGAAGTCAGGCGGGTGGCCATTTGTTTTTCTCTCCCAGAAAATGACTGGACAGGAGGTGGAAAGGCTGAGGAGCAGCAGGAAGCATGGGATCCACTCTTTTAGGAAAACCCGATTCCTTTCCCAAGGGGCTATCTTAAACCAGCCTGAATTTGGAATGCTGTCTCCCAAGTTCAGCCAGAACTGCTCCCGTCAGAAGCTGTTGAAAGTAGAAGGGCTCCCTCCCAGCACACACACACCCCCCCACCTTTGCTCTGGGCAATTCAGACCTTGTCATTTCATGCTGATTGCATCCTCCCATAAAATTTTGTATGCCATTTCTGGTGATTGGGCTCCTATAAAAATAAATGTTGGAAGCACTGTCTTTGAGATGATGGGATTACGTTTAGATTAACAACTACATCCTCAAGACTGGTGACTTCCTAGTCCAAACCAGTTACCAGACCAGAATATTCATTTAGTTAACTGATGACTTTGGAGAAGATGGCTATCCTCATGCAAATCATCTATCTTTAGTTCACCACCTGGTATGCCCTTCTTCTTCTGTCCCTAATGAGACTTTTGGCTATCCAAATCCATCTTGAATGTCACCTCCTTGTGGTGCCTCCCCTGAACTCCTGCTGACAGACTCATCCAGGTGTCACTCCTGCCACAGAGTCTTTATGTATTTTGATTATAAAATCATCATATCATAGTGTGATTATTTCTCTCTCCCTAAGCTGTGAATTTTGTAAAGATTCTGTATCTGTTCATCTTTCTCTGTCTAGCTCCGAGTGTGCTGTTTGACACATGCTAGGTATTTAGTGAATCCTTGCTCAGCAAACACAAATGGAAGTGTGACTCATTCATTCAGCTTGCTACCACTGAGTTAGAATGACTCAGGAACTGAAACTTTCTTACAGCAACAGAATCAGGCAAATTCTATTCTTTTGAAGTTTTATTGCTAAACTTAACGTTTTGTGTCATTTTTTTCTTGCCAAAGCACTTACCCAAATTTTAAGTGTCTGAGAGATGTTAAGTAGAATAAATAGACCAGGGATGTTAGGAATACAGGATAATGGAGTTTAACAATCATTGAGGAAGGGAACACATGGTTGGGTAAGGAATAGGCAAAAAGCATACCTCAAATTGGAACCTCTTGAAAGGGAAATTGTAACCCTAAATGTCTGTAGTTTGTTCTCTGGAATTTAGGAAGCAGTATACGGGTTCAGATCTGTTTTTATTTTCTTTAGCTTGCTTGCTAAAAATTAATGCTTTCATACACAGATTGAAACCAAAGAAATTTATTCTCAGAGGCAGCTTCTACTAAAAGATATAGATTTGCTAAGAGGCAGAGAAGCAGAGCTGAAACAACGAATCGAAGCTTTTGAATTGTGAGTAACGTATTCGTTTCGGATATTCGAAATGAATGAGATTTAAAAGAACTAAATATGTATCTTAATAGTCTGCTAATTGCTAAGTAGAGTTTTTGGTTGTAGAAGTGACAACACCTAGTTTTAAAAGGCACAATTTAAGAGAAAGACTGAGGTTTTGCTTATGAAATATTACACGTGAGGATGAGACACAGAATGAGGTGCCATCATTGGGCTACAGTAAGACCAGACACATAATTTGAAGGAGCTAATAATGCTTTAACAAATCCTGTGTTTCTCCTTTACGTTTGTGGTCATTCAGATCTAATAGTTTTGATGTGCACATAGCAACTGAATTCTAGATACCTAGACCTTCCTCCTTTACTTGTTCTGCTGTCAAAAATAGAAAAAGAAAGAAAAAGGAAAAAGGAAATATGGTGGCTCTGACTTGACTTGTATCAGGTGAAACTATTTCTCCTGGTGTGTGTGTTACTTTTTCTAAGTGCTCACAGATGTATCATCCTTCAAATCTTACCTGGGATTAATACCCCTCTCACCAGTCTATATTTGGTGGAATAAGCTTTCTTTGCCATCTGGGATCTTGACATTCATAGATACTCCAGGAATCTGATTTTAAGAGTTTGTCTCCATCTTTATTAATGTTGTTTTTTCATTTACATAGGCTCTGTTCATTTGATTTCTTCTCTCTGCCTACCTTACTCTCCTTTTGGCGATACTAAAATGACACATTGATAACGAGAGAAAAAAGAAAAGGAACAAAATTTGGGCAGATTCTTGATATAATCATGATTATATAATCACTTCCCTACCTCGTCGTCCCCTACTTCTCCTGTCTAAGTCTATTAAATGAAATAAATGGATTTAATGCTCCTTTGGTTTAAGATTAGTCAGGAGAGGGAGCTCTAACATAAAGCCTTTTTTTTTTTTTTTAAGATTTTATTTATTCATGATATATAGAGAGAGGCAGAGAAGCAGGCTCCATGCAGGGAGCCCGATGTGGGACTCGATCTTGGGACTCCAGGATCACGCCCTGGGCCAAAGGCAGGCGCTAAACCGCTGAACCATCCAGGGATCCCCTAACACAAAGCCTTTATCCTTTGCTTGGAACAGAGTGTTTGTAGCCCTCCTCACTACCGTTTGGACTAAGTACTTGTGAACCTGATCCTAGGCTCTGGAATTGGTTTTGTGGGTGATTGAAGGTCTCCCCATGAAAAGCACTCCATTCTTCGGATTTGGAGGTTCTAATGGACTCATCGTTTGCTATTTTGGCACTCTTTTCAACCTTCAATTGATGGATTTTTTAAATGCCGGAAACAAATCTTCTATCTATAATTCTTATGGGCTAGTCAATTAAGTCTCACAGTTAGAAATAATATTCTAGAAGAAACAAGCATTTAAGTACCCTAGAGTTTGGTTTGTAGCTTTGTAACTAAAAACCTCACCCTTTTACCCCTAAATTGATTATGACCATTTATCCCCTGTAACCCTTTTTTGAGTGTGGATCATCTTCTATAAGCAACCACTTTGGTCTTGATACATTCACACTGCCTTTAGCCAGGTGCCACCAGATAATTCCATCTGCTTGTTTATGAACTGAGTCAGTTCATAAAATAGATGGAGGACTTCAGGTTCTTACAGTTTATTTCCTGGCAGTGGTAGCCATATTACAGTTTTAGCCTGTGGAACTAAAACACAAGTTATTTTTTCCCCATAAAGTTTCTTACTTCAGATGTCGTGGTTTCCTTATTTGCTTTCTCTATTTTTGCTAATTTCAGGGCTCAAAGGCTACAAGAAGAACAAAATAAAAGCATAACTGATGCACTTAAGAAGCGGGAGCTGAATATAAAGAGCATGGAGGAGAGCTATGACCAGAAGCTCAAGAATGAACTTCTCAAGTAATTGCTTGACATTTTTAAAGGAATCCTGTGTTAAAATAAGTTGCTAGAAACATGGCAACACTGATGAAGTAGATAAGACAGATAAATGATGGCAAAATTGAATGTTTAAAAAACATATTTTCATTAGTAATTAAGCCTTTCCCTTCATTATTTAAGATGAGTTTAAAAAGATACAGAGAATGGCATCCTCTGCTCATTCTTACTTGTAGCTTCTCTGACACTTACTGAGGGCCTAAGGTTTGCTTCAATTTTTAGGGAACCTTAGCACTTGCTCATTTTGCACGGCTAAGCAACTGTAAAGTTGGAATTAAAATCACTTTCTGTTCTGTTTTCTCCTCATACTGGCACTAAGATGGGGATAGGCAATAATGTATACATTGGTCTTCTTTTTTTTTTTAAGATTGTATGTATTTATTCATGAGAGACACACACAGAGAGAGAGAGAGAGAGGAGCAGAGACACAGGCAGAGGGAGAAGCAGGCTCCATGCAGGGACCCCAAAGTGGGACTCGATCCTGGGTCTCCCGGACCACGCCCTGAGCCAAAGGCAGGTGCTAAACCGCTGAGCCATGCAGGGATCCCTACTTTGGTCTTCTTACCTGGTTAGAGTGTTTATCTATCATGTGCCTCGTGTTCCTTCAAGGTTCTGGAAAGCCAAAATCTAGAAAAAAGCCAAATAATCATATGAAGCAAAAAAAACAACATAGGAGAGGAGAATGTGGACAAGTGTGGTCCCTGGGGCTTTCCTATAGCCTGAGTTTTGTGTTCTGGTAAATAATACCTTTGTGCAAATACATTAAGCCCATATGGAAACTTTCCCTCCAGTGCGTGGTATAGCATCTGGCACATAATAAGTGCTCAGTTGGTACCAGTTGAGTAAATGCATGTGTAGTGAAGAGATGACTCTGCTCAGCTCCTCTGATTAAGGTCATTGGTCTCCTTTTTATTGCCTTGCTCATAATTTGTCATTGGAATTCCATTACATAGTACCGCAAAGGTTTCTGGAGGTTATTGTTTAAAAGAATTCTGTTAAAAAGGAAAAGCAGCACCTTTTCTTTGTATCAGTTTTGAAATGGATTTTATCTACATATTTTATATCTGCTCCTCTAACATACTAGCAAACACTGAAGTAACTCTAGTTGTTAAACTGTGACAAATGAGAAAAATATGTGCTTTAACTTTGCATAGCTGTGGATGCAGTGAACTGTTTGGTATCATTTGTCTGGCTTTGGGTGTCCTCATGGGCCGTTAGCAAGTGTTGAAGTTGGGGGGGATATCATAGGAGCACTTCTCTTTCATTTCCTTTCTCTGACCTCTGAACCAGAAAGTTGACTGCTAACAGCTGGTGGAGATGGTAGAAGCCCCTTGAGATGTGCCTTTGGGTACCACTAATTCAGGTCTGATGCTGTTGGCAGTTGGCGCTCTCAATACTGTGCTCAGTCTTGAAGGGCAAAAGTTCTTACCTAAGAAGAAGGGATGTGGGTGGGATAGGTGAATTGCAAGTGACTGACTTGGTTATCATCTGGGATTTAGTGTCTGTCATACACGCTGTCACTTTACCTTAATTTACTTCTTGGCATCTGTCGAGACCAAGAGGAATCCCTGCTCTCAGTAACCTCATGACAACAGAGCCCTTCACTTTGTGTGATTGAGTTTTGGGACCGAATTTCTAGGATCATAGCAGAGGTTTACGGACGGATCTTTGATGTTGAGAATTCAGATCCCTGGCTTTAGTCTTGAGAGAGCCTGGGGTTTACGTGTCACCATGGTTGATGCCCTTATGTGCCCCAGGTGTCATAGATAAGCTCACGTGTTGATGGTAGACCATCCAGGATTGCGACAGGGAGCTCATGTTTAGTTCTTCTGATTCGCAGGTATCAACTCGAACTAAAGGACGACTACATCGCCAGAACTAACAGGCTGATTGACGACGAAAGGAAGAATAAAGGTGACTCTGGGGGCAAGCTGTATTTCTCAGCGCCAATGCGTAGGCTGTTGGTTTCCTAGTTAGGCCTGTTCTATATTCTAAAAAAGACACAGCTTACACTATCTTGTTACTACAAAAATGATATGTTGTTTGTTATTTTAATTTTACAAAATAAAAAAATACTGTCTTAACTTCATTTTTGTGAACCTTAGTGCTTAACCTTTTGTATATTCCCAAAGGTCAGTAATTTATCAGTAGGATTTTATCCAACTTTATTTCGGTGTATTTTGATAAATGTGATTCTCAAGAAGGTGGCAGCAGCTTACTGCCATCCAGTAAATATAACTCTTAACCATGAGAAACTAAGGAAAATTTTAACTTCTCTGTCCCTGTGCTCTAGTTTCTTATTTCCTGTACTTCTAATGTATTTTTATTCTTCATGATTTTTTCACTTGACCTATAACCTGTTATACTCTTGTATACATTAGCCTGAGACTAGGAAAGTTGAATAATTTTTCAATCTTTGAGATATTTTACATTTTAATATATTTCTAGGAACAGACTTATGACAAGAAGTTAAACTTTCAGTGGCAATTTTAAATGGACTCTTGGGAGGACACCAGGGCTAGGTACTTGATACTGACCAGCAAGGTCACCTAGCATGGGGCTGCTCCTTCGCAGCTGTCTCGTGGAGGCTAATGCTTATTTGGGTACCTGTACCATCATATAGTCAGCAAAGTGTTTTTCTGATATATCTACATAGACTTGTGTTAGATGAAGCAAAAATGATAAAATGGTAACTATAAAATCACAACAGACAAATCTCTGTCTTCAAGGAAATTCAGACCTGTTGGCAGAAGGGCCCTGCGCTCCTGTAAGTGATGAGGGTGTGTAGCAGGAGGAAGTTTGCCACATATTTGACCGTTACAACTAACTTCCCATCACCTGTTGAGTAAAAGGGCTTATTTCTTGCCTGCCTGCTGATATTTTTTTTGACTCTGACATCTGCTCTTTAAATAATGGAATTATAGTCATTAGGCCTGACCTACTGGCCATAAATTATGAAATGATTTGTATTCACTAGGAAAACATGATGTTAATTGGTTGGCTCTTTCTTTCAGAAAAAGCTATACATTTGCAAGAGGAGCTCAGTGCTATTAATTCAAAAAAGGAAGAACTTAATCATTCTGTCAATCGTGTCAAAGAGCTCGAGGTAATTGTTAAGCCTATTGTTTTGGAACAGATATTAAACAATGTATGAAAGTTTAGTTTTAGTCGTGCGTCGTTTATCTTCAGTTACTTTCTTGATGTGTTTGGACTGTTGATTCCCTGAGAAGGTAAGGGCTGCTCTTTGTTCATTCACTAGTTCATTTCAATTCTCGTTTCCTAGGGAAGCATAGGAAGAGGATGTCTTTTGGGGCCTACAGTCCTTCCTGAATCCTGTCTCTCTCCCTTTCTGCTTGTGTGCCTTTGGGCAAGTTCTCTGACCTCAGATTCCTTACCTGTAGACTCAGGATGTTGCCTGCATTGCATGGTTGTGCAGGGAATTCAGTAAGCTGATTATGTGCATGGCACATGGCTTACACATGCTGCTTCTACCTCAGCCTCCTCTCCTTCCCATCAAAATTTCTGTCATGGTGTCAAGATCTTACAGCTTACAGCAAAATGACATGCATTTTTCGTATGCCACTGGTACTTTATTTCTGTTAATTCGTATGTTTGCTATCTGAAGGACAGAGCTGGAACATTAGGTAATTATAATAAATTTTATATACAGAACATGTTTTTGTAGCTGTAAGGACTCATTTGAGAACTTTGTAGGCTTCTATAACCAAACTTGAGCCCTATTGTAGTAAGAAAAGGAAAGCAACCTGCAGCACGTTAGCGATCTCTCACCTTTTTATTTAAAAATATATATGTTTTATATATATATATCTGCAACCTGTGGTTACTTCGTTGAACACTTAGTTGCGTCCAGAAAGGGGGTGATGATTAGAAGCACTGGCTTTGCAGGACAGGGTTGTACATGGTAGCAGGTGGAGGAACTTCACCCTGTCCCCACTCTAGGGCAAAAGATGACTTGTACTGCTGGAGTTCGAGTCTCGCTGGAGAGAACCAGACTTCTGTCAGGGGGCCTTAATTCAAGCATGATGCCCAGCTCAAGGCAGCTAGCTGGCTTTCACTTAAGCAGTGCCATCAAGTCACTGTCAAATACAAGTTTCTCTGTTTTTTTTTTTTTTTTTTTTTAAGTTTCTCTGTTTTGATTCCAGCTTGAGTTGGAGTCTGTCAGAGCCCAGTGTTTGGCAATAACAAACCAAAACCACCTGCTGAATGAAAAGGTGAAGGAGATGAGTGATTATTCGCTTCTGAAAGAAGGAAAACTGGAGCTTCAGGCACAAAATAGATTACTCAAACAACAGGTGGAAGACTCCAGAAATGAAAACCTGCGTCTCCTAAACCGTAGGTCATCGTTTTCAGACTCATGGCTTTGTAACTGATAGTAGCTTAGTTTTCTGCAACTGCTTTGTCCTCTAAGGGAGGCTTCAGTTGGGAAGATTTTATAAAATTAAGCTTCTTGGATTGAATGTACTTTGCTTTTGCCTGTTACTGCGTAATTAATTGTGCCAGTAAGAAGACAAATTTTGCAACTGTATAAGTCTGCCTCTCTGGATGGTACCTTGCTGCCCTTGTCCTCTGACCCCTCTGGGCGGGTCAGGTTTGGCCAGTGAGGACACGCTCAGGCGCTTGGAGAAAGGGAAGAGTGAGGTGGAGGTGATTGCGATCCTTCCTCCATCTCCCCCTTGCGAAGTAGCCCCGCACTGGCCCTGTGCCTCAGCAAAGTGACGTCCCAGTGCCCCGGACCTGCTCACTCTCTCTGCTTCTGGGAATGCCTCCCTTTCTGACCCTCCAGGCCCAAAGACTGATAACAGCCTGGCCCCAGTACTAGCCCAGGGAACTACATCATCCTTTGTGGCTACTCTGTGTAAGTCTCTCTTTATTAAAGGGTCTTCCAATGACCCGAATTGGGGACACCATCTGCTTTGCTCCTGGACTCTTGAGTGCCACGGACAGATGCACACAGGTTTGATTGGACCTAGGGGCAGTCATTGGCATGCTTTGAGAGTGTTCCTTCTGTGCCTTCTGTGCATACTAGAAGAGACTCGGGTGTTCACATTAATTTGAAGGTTTGAAAGAATTCTTTTATTGGGAGTAGAACTCTGAAGAGTAGTCAAGTTTGCAATTATGTGCATTAAATTCTATGTTCTGAAATTTGAGAGAATTGCTCTTAGTCCATTTAATAAAACTAATTTTAATTATGTGCATTCAAAGAAAGGGAAGAACAATTTAAAGCCTCTTTAGCTGCTTTTGTTAGAGAAAACTTCAGGTTGATAATGACCAGGCCTTTTTACCTTCACAGACATTGCTCAGCCATCTCCTGAGCTGGTGGTTTTTCAGAAAGAACTAAAGAAAGCAGAAAATGCTATTGCACTTGAGCATAAAGAGTTTGAAAACCACAAGCTGGCTTTGCAAAAACAACTGCAAAGTGAAGTGAGTATTGCTCTTGGCTCGTCCAAGTGTTAGGGCAGTGCACTTTGGGGGGGGGGGTGTAAATTTGGTGTATGTCACACCAGTATAAATGAGATCTATTTTAACATCATAAATTTCCCCCCTTATGCTAATCATTCCCCCCAATATTCTTTCTCATCTGAGAAAATTCTCAAATGATCATGTGACATATTCATAATAAAATTAAGAGGAAGGTAAACTCTTCTAACACACAGCTTTCCAAGTCTTGATGGTGCCCATTGTTAAAAGTATCTTTTGATTCTCAGGATTGTTAAGTCACAGGGTGACATTCTCTTTCTGATATCTGCCTCATGTCCTGGAGTAGCTGCTGTTTGAGATGAGCAAAGAAGGAGCTTTTAAACTTGTGTGTTTTGTTGTTGTTTTATAGGGACCCCCTCCAAAGTGGCAGGTGTATAGCTGCTCAGAATTGGTGAAACAAAAAGAGAAAAGCCCAATGAGAGAATTGTTCCTTTTGAAGTAAGCTGTGATTTATTTTACACTGATTTCTTTTCCTTCTCTAAATCTTTTCAGATTGAACATTCTGCACAGCTGAAGGCCCAGATACGTGATTATGATGAGTCCGTAAACAGGTTAACCATACAGGTTGCCGATTTAAGATTGCAACTGAAACAAACCCAGACAGGTCAGAGACATTTTAAACCTGTGTGTATGTAAGTGTGTAAAGCTTCTGATGTTTGTGAAGATGTAATGATCATGACTCCATGAATTTTTAGTAATTCTCATAGTAGGAGAAGAGCTATAGAAATATGTGTCACCTTAGGAAAATTTCTATTTCAGGACCACCAACCAGGTCAGCAGCTAAAGTGACTTGCTATCTTTTTCTTTTTAAAAAATTTTTTTAAAAATTCAGTTAACAAATATATAATGTGTTATTGGTTTCAGAGGTAGAGGTCAGTGATTCATCTGTCGCATATAACACCGAGTGTTCATGCCATCACGTGCCTTCCTTAATGCCCATCACCCAATTGCCCCATCCCCCCACCTCCCTCACCTCCAGCAACCTTCAGTTTATTTCCTGTGACTAAAAGTCTCTTATGATTTGTCTCCCTCCTGATTTCATCTTGTTTTATTTTTTCCTCTCTTCCCCTATGATCATCTGTGTTTTGTTTTTTTTTTAAGTGATTTGCTTTCACAGATGCCCCATGGCTTGGGAGAGCCTCATGTCCCAAATAAGAGAGGTTTGGTAGTAACACAGAAGTCCCCAAATTCATCGTGAAGCTAGGCCTTCCTGTTTTGTTACCCTGACACTAAGACCGGTTGACTTGACTCTTCAGTGGTTTTATGTGTTCCGCTGTTCTGCACCTCATACCATGAAAAATAGTTGAATAAGGTAGAACCTTTGGAACATGTGCACTGCACATCGCAAGCCTCTGCTCTCCAGCTGCATCAGGGAGGCATTGTAGGAGAGGCAGTGGGCACAGGTACTGGCTTTGCATCAGGAAATGCCAGCAGCTCTACACCTTGCTCACTGTGCGAGCTTGCCTCGGTCGAGCCTCAGTACCCGCTCTGTACAATGGGTACAGTGAGTATTCTTAGTCCACAGCGTTATTGTGATGGCGCATCCTCATTCCCTTATCTAGAACTCAGGCCAGATGCCGCCATGGCCTGTGAGTTTTGCCACAGCCCTGGAGATTCTGGGGCACCATCCTGCGGTGAAACACATTCACTATTTTGTAATCAAATGCATTAGTACTCGTGCTAGGTGGAATAAATAAAGATTGTAAATGGGTTTATATTGGTTCAGGTCAAGCTCTTCAACCAAATCATTGTTTGGGCTTTGCACCAAATAAATTAGGAATATATTTTCAGTTCTCAGAGCTTTTTAGATTTCACTATTATGCATAATGGATTGTGAAATAAAATTGTGTTATAAAAGAAGGCATATGAAGCCATAGCTGGTATATATAACTTCTTGATAAATGTTAATAATCACTATCATTACTGCCGCTTCAGAAACTAATGTGCAAGTTTGTCCTTAATACTTCCTTTCATTTTTGAGAAATAATGTTCTCCATCAACTTTAACTCTGTTCTCCACCTTTTCTCTTCATTTCTCACATGGTCCTTTTGTAACCCACAGCCCTAGAGAATGAAGTCTACCGCAACCCAAAGCAGTCTCTCATCGATCGTTCTGTCAGCAGACTACTAAGTGGCAAGACGGTGGTGCCTTGGAATGGTGATCTAAACGGGGATTTCTTGAAAAATCCCCTCAAACAGGAAAGGCTGATGGCAATTATACCAAGGATCACAAGTCTTCCAAATGCAAGCACGGAGAGTAGTTCCCCTGATTCTGACCTTGAGTTTGTAGTCAATACCAAGATGAGGGTGAAAGAGCTAGAACAAGAGGCCGAACGTTTGGAGAAAGCTTTCCAAAATTACCATCGAAGAGTTAGTCAACACCCTGCTAAAAGCCCTTTAACATCCAAGAGCCCGCCATCCCTGCACTTGGTAGGAACGCTCAAAAACATCACTTCAGGTGCCCCCCAAAGACCTCCTTCTGCAGAGGACAAGGTTGTCTCCGAGCAGTGTGCGGTGGGCACACCTGATGAGGACAAGAGCAGTGCCTCAGAAGCTCAGACAGGCAACATGGCGTCGCGGCCATGCCGGAGCATTTCCTCCAGACGCCTCTCCTCTACTCCCCTTCCCAAAGCGAAAAGGAGTCTCGATGATGAAATGTATCTGGAAGGTGAGCTGTTGCGAAGAAGGTTGTGGGATGCTCTGGATTTGGAGGTGTCTGGTCCTCGGGGGCCCCTTAACCGAGTAAGTGTGCAGCCCGGGACGGCAGGAAGGAGCAGGGGCTGAGCCTAGGAAGGCCTGAGTTTCAGCACTGTGTCCTCCCTCTGAACCTGCCTTTCCTGCTTTACAGTGGCATTGCCCCCACCTTGCAGGGTGCTGTGGAAGGTGGGGGGGTAGTGTCCCATTCTAGCCATTTCCTTGGCACGCAGACATGTCCAGAGTGATAGTGGCTTTCCTTTTACTGCTGGTTAGTGACATATGTTTTATTGTTACTATTGTAGTTTCTTTTAGGTATGGGAATGGTTAGTTTTGTAGATCATTTATGCATTATATTCAACTGTTGACAAGGATAATAGGATTCATTGTCAAAGTAATAGAACTGTTCAGAAACCATGTTGCTGTCTTCTCCTTGCCATTTTTAATAGTCAAGCCTTCTGCCCCTTAGGTCTAGCCCAATCCCATGCTGCTGGCCCCAGTCCTGGTCCCGACGGAATGCCCCGGCCTTCACCCGCGGAGTCCAGGCACAGCCTTTCCCTCCATCAGCTGCCCAGCTCTCCAGAGCAGGCCAGGTAATCACCTTCAGCTCAGCCTCTGCTGAACTGCACGGGGTCTCAGCCTGGATTTGGGTTTTCTGGTGATACTAAAGGCCATGTGGCAGTATAGAATTTGTAATCAGATTGTAAGATGTATGATCTTTGAAAATCCTCTAAATTACCTGGGGTGGCTGGGAGGAAACATACTTTTTAGCAAATAAGTAATTTTCTACTTGTTTGCTAAACTTGGTGTGTAGAATATACACTATAGTATTAGTAAACATCTTCATATTTCTGAGAATAGACTTGGTTTATGAAGATAAAACAATGGTAAAAAAATCTGCAAAAACAAACTCAGTTGAAACTTGAAACAATTTCACATATTGTTAAAAACTCATTTAAAAATGGTTTGGTACTTAAATATAAACAGATAAGGTTTCAGTCTTTTTTGTACTTGAATATAATTTTTTTTGTACTTGAATATAATTGATACACAACATTAGATTAGTTTCAGGTATACAACGTGGTGATTTGACTCTGTACATTATACTGTGCTCACCACAGTTGTAGCTCCCATCTGTCACCATACAATGCTATTATACTGCCATTGACCGTATTCCCTATGCTATACCTTTTATTCTTATGGTTTATTCGTTTCAAAAGTGGAAATCTGTACTCCCCCGCCCCTTCACCCATTTTGCTCATCCCCCCCTTCTCTCTGGCAACCATCACTTTGTTCTTTCTATCTATAGGTCTAATTCTGCTTTTTGTTTGTTCATTTGTTGCTTTTTTTCTTAAGATTCTATTTATTTTAGAGAGTGCACATGCATGAGTTGGGGGTGGGGGGCAGAGGGAGAGAGAGAAAATCTCAAACAGATTCTGCGGTGAGTGTGGAGCCCAACAGCAGGGCTCAGTCTCACAACTGTGAGATCATGACTTGAGCTGAAATAAAAGTCAGAGACACTTAACCGACTGAGCCATCCAGGCGCCTCTGTTTATTCATTTGTTTTTTAGATTCCACATGTAAGTGAAATTACATGGTATTTGTCTTTCTTGGTTTGATTTACTCCACTTAGCATGACACACTCTGGGTCCATCCATGTTGTTGCATATGGCAACAATCTCATCCTTTTTTATGGCTGAGTAGTATCCCTTTATGTGTGTATATATCACATTTTCTTTATTCGTCTATTAATAGACACTTGTGTTGCTTCTATATCTTGGCTATTTTAAATAATGCTGCTGTATACATAAGGGTGCATGTATCATTTCAAATTGATGTTTGCGTTTTCTTGGCATAAATACCCAGTAGTGAAATTACTGGATCATAGAGTAGTTCTATTTTTAATTTTTTGAGGAACCTCCATACTGTCCTCCACAGTGGCTGCACCAGTTTGCATTCCCATCAACACTGCACAAAGGTTCCTTCTCCACATCCTCACCAATACTTGTCAGAATGGCTATAACCAAAAGACAAGAAGTAACAAGTGTCAGGTGGTATCTCATTGTGGCTTTAATTTACATTGCTCTGATGAGTGATGTTGAGCTTCTTTTCATGTGTCTATTGGCCATCTGTAGGTCTTCTTTGGAAGAATGTCTATTCAGGTTCTCTGGCCATTTTAATCAGATTATTTGTATTATTAGTATTGAGTTGTAGAAGTTCTTTACATATTTTAGATACTAACCTTTTATGGGATATATCATTTAGAAATATCTTCTCCCATTCAGTAGGTTGCCTTTTCATTTTATGATGGTTTCTTTTTGCTGTGCAAAAGCTTATTTTCTTCTTTTTTTTCCTGTAGTCCTGATAGTTTAATTTTATTTTATTTCTCTTGCCTCAGGAGACATATCTAGGAAAATGTTGCTAGGGCCAATGTCAGAGACATTACCACCTGTGCTCTCCTTTAGGATTTCTATGGGTTCAGGTCTCACATTTAGGTTTTTAACCCCTTCTGAGTTTATTTTTGTGTATGGTTGAAAGTGGTCTAGTTTGCTTGTAGCTGTCCAGTTTTCCCAAGACCATTTGTTAAAGAGACTGTCTTTTCCCCATTTTATATTCTTGCCTCCTCTGTCATAGATCAATTGACCATATAATCATGGGTTTACTTCTGGGCTCTCTGTTCTATTCCATTGTCCTATGTGTCTATTTCTGTGCCAGTACCATACTGTGTTGATAGCTACAGCTTTGTAGTATATCTTGAAATCTGGAATTGTGATCCCTCCAGCTTTGTTCTTCCTCAAGATTGCTTTGGCTGCTCAGGGGTCTTCTGTGGTTCCATATACATTTGTTCTAGTTCTCTGAAAAATGCTGTTGGTATTTTGATCAGGATTGCATTGAATCTGTCAATTGCTTTGGGTAGCAGGAACATTTTAATAGTATTACTTCTTCCAATCCATGAACATGGAATATCTTTCCATCTGTGTCATCTTCAATTTTTTTCATCAGTGTTTTATAGTTTTCAGAGTACAGGTCTTTTAGCTCCTTAGTTAAATTTATTTCTAGGTATTGTTTTTGATGCATTTGTAAATGGAATTGTTTTCTTAATTTCTTTTTCTGCTGCTTCGCTATAAGTATGTAGAAATGCAGCCAATTTCTTGGTCTGAATTTTCTATCCTGCAACTTCACTAAATCCATCTGTTCTAATAGTTTTTTTGGTGGAGTCTTGAGGACTTTTTTGTATAGGATCATGTCATCCGCAGATAGTGACGGTTTACTTCCATTCCAATATGGATGCCTTGTTTTTCTTACCTGATTGCTGTGGCTAGGACTTCCAGTGAATGAAAGTGGCAAGAGTGGACATCCTTGGCTTATTGCTGATCTTCAAAGGTCCCAATTTGTTTATCATCGAAATAAATTCAAAATTGGTAGTGGATCCTAGGATATGATTGCTAAAGCAGGGAGGGGATTGGGTATGTTTAGGAGCTAACCAGTGGGTTTCCCACTCTAGGATTCAAGTCACATGTGGGACTCCTATTTATGCCTGATCCCCATGGCAGGAGACTCTGACCCCTTAGTTCCAGGCTCTAGCCTCGGCTTCCCCATGTTGATTCTGTTATACTGTAAAGAGTTGTAAACTGCCACATGTGCCTATTATGATCCTAAAGTATGTAATGGTTTTTTATATCACTCTTTGTTGTAATAGAGCCAAGAAGAAAGACTCGTGTGCTAAGTTAGGGCCCCTTAGTGCACATGGGGCTTATAGTATGACATCTTCAGCTGGCATGTGCTGAGGGTGTGCAGAATCTGTTGTTTTCAAAAATGTTTTCTGGTTCTGGAGAAAAGAAACTGCTCCTGGGAACAATGTGGTAATGATGGTAGTACTTATCTCACAGCATGTCGTGGTTATGAGGAATAACTAAGTGCATGGTTCAGAGGGGTACCCACTGCAGTGTAGCTCCTGTATTCTGTGAGCTCATGAAAAACTATTTTTCAAAAGCATTTTCTTGAGTCCCAAAAGGTTTTTATCACCCTGTGCTCTTGGGTTTTACATTCCCGCAACTTGACATTCTTGAATTTTATTCTTCCGATCCAGTCTTTATCAGAAACAATTGAAGCTTCAGGACAAAACTGAATTTTCAAATCCAGACAAGCCACCTTTTAAGGACAATGAGGAACTTGAATCATCTTTTGAATGTAAGTTCAAATATGAGTACTGGTTTTTATAAGTTCAAAATGTAGAAAGCTTAGTTTTGGTGAAAACGTTCATGGTCATAAGAAGCAAAGCAGTTACAGATTAGGACATTTTTATTTTGTGATAAAACCACAAATACAGATAGATTGCCTCATTTTTATATCACAAAGATTTCCAAGGGTGTGTTCTGAGTTCCATTTATTAAGCATTTCAGGATAGTTCACAATTTCAAAGTTGGAACTAAGTCTATAACTGAATCCTTAACTCAGTTTACCAAGTTTGAGATTGCCTCAGACTTAAAATAAGTGATTAAAAAAAAAATTTCCCCTTTTATGGAACATGAGCATACTATTATTTTTATTTGTATACTAATTCCATTGACTACCTAAGATTTACAAAACTCATTTTTAAATTAAAGAATAGAGATAAAATAATCCAGGCTTGAGAGCCTAGAAATGGGTGTCCTGGCTGTGGCACTGCCTCAGAGCCTACTGCTTTAGTATCAAATAGAGTTTTAGGGGGGATCATCTCTGCAGTCCTTTCCAGCTTGCAAGTCTTTATATTTGTATATAACCTGTCATTTCATTTCATGAGCTTTATTGCTGAGTGTGAGAGTATAATGGTTTCAACATTTAAATGATAAGGCTTAGTAAACTTTTCAAAATCCTTATGACTAACTTTAAGCTTGTGAAATCATTGATTTCAAATAGAATCCAAATGATTATCAGCAAACCAGGTGAATTATTTCACTCGATTGATTTCCCTATTGGGTAACTAATTAGATTTTGTAGTGAACCTAATTCTTGAAAGAAGTGTGAATACCATTGTCAGGCGGCTCCAATGCAGACTTCTTAAGAGTCGTATAGACAAAGAGCTGGCCCAGTTGGTTTGGCCAGAACTGAAGTGCTTCACCATGAGTTAGCCCTACACTGTACTGCACTCCCTTCTCTTGCCCTTATTCCCGAGGACTCAGGGGATACTTGTTTGCACCTCCTGTAGGTGCAGGGAGCACGCCAAAGCAGTTTGAAGTGAATGTCCTCCATCCTGCTGGCGACATGCCTCACATGGATGCTGCCGCAGCCGCTGTATCCTTTCACTATCCAAGTAAGTTTTCCTTTGTTTTAATTAACAAAATATATTAACAAATTAGTAATATTCAATCTTATTTCATTTTCTGTTTGCTTCCTCCATGCCTTAAAAAAGTAGGACAAGGAAAACCTTTCTGTATTTCAATTTTCAGAAAAGCTGATGACATTGGAGGAAAACTGGTCATCAGACTTGCCTTGCTTGGGCCTACCTTGTCTTTCCTCTTAACCTTCTCCAGATGACCCACTTCCCTCCCCAGTGTGGAAGAAAGGTGTAGCGGGGAGATTTGAGCTTTGCTCCAGGGCTCAGCCAACAGCCAGGTCCTTTTCTCCTTGGAACCTAAGTGTTTAAGCTTTAAAGTTGAAAGGAAATGCATCAAGTAAAGTCAGCTATTAGTCCTTTCCAAACATTGGGAGAACATCATCCCTAAAACCTATGGAAAAACTTCTTATAAACAGTTTCTTGGCTTAAGGCACAGTTGGGAATGTGAGTAGTCGCTGAAAGAAGCAAGAGACTTTGAGAAGATTGATTTTTGCAGATTCCAGAATAAATCATTCTGGAAAGCAAAGCACTCATTCATTGAGACTTGATCAAGAGCCTTTTCTTTACTGGGCACTTTGCTTGGGGCTGGGCATACAGCAGTGTACCAACCCAGGTCCCTGCTTCATGGAGCTTCTAGTAGGAGAGTCGGGCAGTAGGCGAGCCATCATGGAGAGATACTGATAGGGACAGTGACAACCAAGAGAGGATCTGATGGACAGCCATTTGGCAGACAAGAGTGAGTAGGGAAGAAAAATAACAGAATAAGGGAAACCAACTGAGCAGACAGGTGTTCTGTTTCTGACATGTAACATAGATTATAATAAATGGCCTTTTAAATTACTGTTAAATAGTATGATTACATTTTGATTATCGGGGGAAGTCTCTTACATCTGCTGTTTAACCTCTTCATCTGGGTGCAAAGGAAATGAGAAAGCTTCGGACTTGCTGTCTTTGTGCCAGTGGAAATACTTCTTTTCTTTGCTCTTATGTCCAGGGTGGTTTCAGTTTCAGTACGCCACTAGGCAGCTACAAAATACACTTCTCAGGGAAGAAGCAGCCTTTTTCTCTTCATCTGTGTAAAGTAGCTTCCAAACAACATTCCTACGCCGAGATTGCTGTTCTATGTGAGTGTGTGATACATCCAGGAGTAACCCTCCTTCCCCTGGCCAGGAAGAGGCTGTGTCACTGCCTATAGAAATGGTCAGCGGCCTCCTTTGGGATTTGAATTTCATGACCAGAATTAAGACTATGTTGTTCCTCTCTTATTAGTAAAACGAACTTTTTGCTAGTGACTTAGAACAGGGCACTGCAATGAGTTTTGAAGTCCCTTGGTGATCCTGTGAACTTGTTGTTCGTTAGCATTGCTGGGGAAAGTTGAGGTTATAGGCCAGGGCTGGGAAAGAAAAAGTCAGCACAGTCCTCTCTGGGACTGAGATTGGATTCAGCGTGAGAGGCCTGGAGACCTGTGGTGCAAGCTCAGAGAACAATTAAAACCTGGTCCTTGAGCAGAAGGGATAGAAGCAGGGAGACAGGTACATATGGGTTTTGAGAAGGCAGGTACAAAGTACTGTGTGAATATGGTGCTGGAGTGGCCAGTTGTCACTTTAGGAACAAGGAGGACCTTGCAGAGAAGGTGGCATTTAGGTGAGGGCTTGCACTGTAGGTAAGGTTTTGGGAGAAGAAGGGAGCACATCGGGTTAAGGAGATGGTGAAAACAAAGGCATGGCGCAAGGCCGATGCAGCTGTACTCAGGTAACTGAGCGCGCTGCTCTACAGGTGGAATGTTTCAAATGGGAAGCTATGATGATAGAAGAAGGCAGTCTGGAGACTGGAGAGAAAAAGACAAATTGTCAGCCTAAACCACTGTGGATTTGGACTCCCCCAGAGCAGAGAGTATGCAGAGCAGATCCAGGAAGTGACTGGTGCTCACAAAGGTGAAGGTGGGTTGCTTGAAGGCAGAGAAGCCAGTGTCATGGAGAGCATTGACTAGGTCATTTCAGCTGCCCAGGTAAATGGTGATAGGAACCCTCACTGCAGCAGGTGGAGGACAAAGAACCTGTAAGCCCTGGTGGCCCAGTGGACATAGTATGGAAAAAGCATGATTAAAGGGACAGGAATGATGAGTTCAGTATAAAGCCAAGGCTGTGAGGAGGGAGGGTGTCTCTGTGTCGATGGCAGGAGACCCGTTAGCAGGGTGTAAGGAAACGGAGAGGTAAGGACTAGAGAAGGAGGTGTGGGAAGTGTCGAGGATCAGCCTGGAGGAAGTGGGTGGCAGCAGCACGCTGGCTAGAGTGGGGGGCGGGGTGGTACTGCGTCCTGTCTGGGTCAGGAGAGACTGGGACCCCTGCACGGGAGCAAGGGAAGGGAGCAAGGGAAGAGTCGGAGCAAGGGAAGAGTAGGGAAAGTGCTGTGCAAGTGAAGAGGGAATAAGGGTTAAGTCTGAGTCCTAAAGCTAAGGGGGAGGGGCAGACCCAGAGAGTGAGAAGCTGAGACTGGGGTGTGTGGGGGAGTTGTCTGGGAGGCCTGAGTGGCTCAGCAGTTGAGTGTTTGTCTTCAGCTCAGGGTCTGATCCCTGGGTTTCGGGATCGAGTCCCACATCGGGCTCCCTGCATGGAGCCTGCTTCCCCCTCTGCCTATGTCTCTGCCTCTCTCTCTCTTTATGTCTCTCATGAATAAATAAATAAAAAAAGTCTTTAAAAAAAGAGTTAATGTCATCGTATTATGAGTGACTTGTCCTCATCTCACCAAAGCAAAAGGCAGGGTGCAGTGCTAGGAGTGGGTTTGGGGGCTCCAAGATGGAGCAACTCAGGAGTCCTCTAAGAACCAAGCAATCTTCCTGAGTCTTGGCAAAGGCCCCTGGAAAGTAGTCATGCATTCATTTGAAAAATCCGATGCTGGAAAAACTACGTGTTCTCTCTCTTTCCCATTAGGCAAAGATCAGAAACAAATGGGAGAACCGAAGGAAGAAGAAAAAATATGGGAAGAGCACATGAGAGAACGCAAGGAGAGAGAAGAAAGAAGGCAGAATGAGTGGCAAGAGGCTTTGGAAAGGGAACGAAGAGAACTAGAAAAACTGGATCAAGAGCGGGTAATGCTAAATAACATGCAAATTCTCCGCTGCTTTTCCCATGGTTTACCTTCAGTAAGTACCTTCCTCTCAGGGACATGAGTCCTTAGTGTGGCCCGAAGTCCTAGGAGTGGAAGGTAACTTTGTTGATGGTTTGGTTTTGGTTTTCTTACCATTCAACATTGACTATATTCCCTATGCGGTACTTCAGATCTCTGTAACTTCCTTATTTTATGACTGGAAGTGTATACCTCTTAATCCCCTTTGTCTCTTTCACCCATCCCCCTACCCATCTTCTCCCTGGCAACCACCAGTTTGTTCTCTGTATTTGAGTCTGGGTGTTTTGGGGTTGTTGTTTCTTTGTTCATTTGTTTTCTAGATTCCACATGTAAGTGAAATCATATGGTATTTGTCTTTTTCTGACTTATTTCACTTAGCATAATATCCTCTAGGTCCATCCATGTTGTCACAATTGGCAAGATCTCATCCTTTTTATGGCTGAGTAATATTATACTATTCTTTATCCATTCATCTGTCGATGGATACTGGAGTTGGTTCCATATCTTGGCTATTGTAAATAATGCTGCAGTAAACCTAGGGATGCACATATCTTTTCAATTTAGTGGGGTTTTTTTCCCTTTGAGTAAATACTCAGTAGTGAAATTACTGGATCAGATGGTAATTCTATTTTTAATTTTTTGAGGAACCTCCATCTTGATTTCCACAGTAGCTGCACCCTAGTAGTTTGCATTCCCACCAACAGTGCACAATGGTTCCTTTTTTTCCACATCCTCGCCAACACTTGTTTACTGTCTTTCTGATTTTAGCCATTCTGACAAGTGTCAGGTGATACCTCATTGTAGTTTTGATTTGCATTTCCCTGATGATTGATGAGCATCTCTTCCTTTGGTAGTTGGCTATCTATATGTCTTCTTTGGAGAAATGTCTGTTCAGGTCCTCTGCCCATTTTTAATTGGATTGTTGGTTTTTTTTTCGTGTTGTGTAAGTTTTTTATATTTTTGGATATTGACCCTCATTGGATATATCATTTGCAAATATTTTCTTCCATTTAATACATTGGTTTTTTTTTTAAGATTTTATTTATTTATTCATGAGAGAGAGAGAGAGAGAGATGCAGAGGCAGAGACACACAGGCAGAGGGAGAAGTAGGCTCCATCAGGGAGCCCAACTCGGGACTCGATTCTCGGACTCCAGGATCATGCCCTGGGCTGAAGGCAGGCACCAAACCGCTGAGCCACCCAGGCATCCCTCAATACATTGCTTTTTCTTTTGCTGATGGTTTCCTTCACTGTGCTGAAGCTTTTTATCTTGATGTAGTCCCAGTAGTTCTGGGTTTTTGTTTGTTTTGTTTTGTTTTGTTTTGTTTTGTTTTGTTTTGTTTTTGCTTTTGTTTCCCTTTCCTCAGGAGACATATCTAGAAAAATGTTGCTACGGCCAATGTCAGAGAAGTTACTGCCTGTGCTCTCTTCTAAGATTTCTGTGTTTCAGGTTGCACATTTAGGTCTTTAATCCATTTTGAATTTATTTTTAAGAAAGTGGTCAGTTTCATCATTTTGCATGTTACTGTGTCCAGTTGTCCCAGCACCATTTATTGAAGAAACTTTCTTTTCCCTGCTGTATATTCTTGCCTCCTTTGTTGTAGGTCAGTTGACCATATAAGCATGGGTTTATTTCTGGACTCCATTCTGTTCCATTGGTCTATGTGTCTATTTTTTGTGCCCGTGCCATACTGTTTTGATAACTACAGCTTTGTAGTATATCTTGAAGTGGCTTTGATACCTCTGGCTTTGTTCTTCTTTATTAAGTTTGCTTTGGCTATGTGGGGGTCTTTTGCGGTCTTTTGCGGTTCCATACAAATTTTAGTAGTATTAAGTATTTAGTAGTATTAAATTTAGTATTATTAAAAGCCTAATGTAAGCATCCCCGTCTTCTCCTTTGCTTATTAAGAGCACTGAGAAAGGTTGTGTAAATAACATAGACCTTAGAAGTTCAGCAACAAAGGGGAGCTTTTGCAAGCTCATTTGCAGCATTTTCATCTGGTCCTGGAAATAAGCCATAAAGGAGGTGGGCTTGGCTTTGCTATAGGTATTCTCTTTTTAAATGGGGTTTAAAGACTTCTAAGAAAAAAACAAACAAACAAACAAACAAATAAATAAATAAATAAATAAAAATAAAGACTTCTAAGGTCAGCTAGCCTGACTAGAATAACCCAGGGAAGTGACTGCTGGTCAACAGTGGCCTCCAGGGGCTCCCCTGCCCTCCTCCTTCCTCTGGTTCTCTTCTGGCCTTCCGTGTTCTGATTCTGGTGCCAGGTGTGTGTATTACTCTGGCCTCTTCACACACCCAAGTCTTACTGAAATTCATCTTCCATATGGATGTTCCTTGGACTCCAGGTTAATTTGGTGTAAAGCACAGGACACTTTAGGCAAATTGATCCCTTCCTTCTTTGAGATGACCTGTTTCGGGTGCCTGGGTGGCTCAGTGGTTGAACATCTGCCTTTGGCTCAGGTCATGATCCCAGAGTCCCAGGATCAAGTCCTGCATCCAGCTCCCTGCATGGAGCCTGCTTCTCCTTCTGCCTATGTCTCTGTCTCTCTCTCTGTGTGTGTGTCTCTCATGAATAAATAAATAAAATCTTAAAAAAAAAAAGAGAGAGAGGACCTGTTTGCCCCCCTTTGGTAGCAGTGACTTCAATAGTTCTTTGGTATGCAGGTTGTACTTAAAGGATCAGGACTCTATTACCATGCCTTTTTAAACACTTAAAAGTTTTAATGTATTTGTATATTTCCTTTGTTGGTGTCTATTCCACAGAGGATGATTGAAGAATCATTGAAGATTGAAATGGAAAAAGAGTTAGAATTGAGTGTTGAAGAAATGAAGGAGAAAGCTGTTGGTGATGAAAATCCTTTAGAGAAATACATGAAAATTATTCAGCAGAATCAGGACCAGGAGACGGCAGATAAGGTGCTGACACTGTGGACCAGCCTTTTGTGGAGGGGGGTGCCAAGGGATGTTTTGGTTTGTTTGAAAACTATAGAACCCAAATCTGCCTTCGCCATTGGAGACAAAAAGGTAGAAAGCATAGAAAATCCACAGTCCAGGGCAGCCCCAGTGGCTCAGCAGTTTAGTGCCGCCTGCAGCCCAGGGTGTGATCATGGAGACCCTGGATCGATTCCCAGGTCAGGCTCCCTGCATGAAGCCCGCTTCTCCCTCTGCCTGTGTCTCTGCCTCTCTCTCTCCCCTCTCTGTGTATTCTCATAAATAAATAAATATTTTTAAAAAATTAAAAAAAAAATCCACAGTCCAAATAGAGCCTTGGGTCTTTTTGATACATTACAGTTGTGACAACAAAATTTCATCACTTTTTTGCTTAAGTAAAGATTGAGGAGGTTTTGATTTGTCAAATTTTATAAAAATTGGAATGTCTCATTATTCTAAAAACAAGAAAGAAGGGGTGCCTGGGTGGCTCAGTTGGTTAGGCATCTGCCTTCAGTTCAGGTCATGATCCCGGAGTCCTGGGATTGAGCCCATCATCAGTCTCCTTGCTTGGTGGGGACCTACCTCTCCCTCTCCCTCTGCCTACCACTCTGCTTGTACTCTTTCTCTCTGTCAAATAAATAAAATCGTAAAATATATATATATAATGAAAAGTCTGTCAACGAATAATGAATGCATTAGTATTGTCTGAGACCTCAATATTTTACTTAAGTCACAACTGTGGATGTTGAGAATGTATACCAGATAGTTTATTTTGATGTGCTTGCTGAATTTTTTTTTAAGATTTTATTTATTCATGAGAGACAGAGAGAAAGAGAGAGAGGTAGAGACAGGCAGAGGGAGAAGCAGGCTCCATGCAGGGAGCCCGACGCAGGACTTGATCCCGGGTCTCCGGGATCACACCCCGGGCTGAAGTTGGCACTAAACCACTGAGCCACCCGGGCTGCCCAGCTTGCTGAATTTCATGTTTAAAAGTGACCTCTTTTTTAGGCTCTTGAATTGGGTATATATATCTCAAATTAGTTCGTACAGAAATCAGAGTGTTAAATAAAATAGATATATATGTAATTTCAAAGTTTTTTTTTCCCTTTTTGTATCAGAGTTCAAAGAAAATTGTCAGAGAAGGCTCAGAAGTGGACACACTGCCATCTAGTGACAAAGACGAAAGGTATGGTTTCCTCAACGTGATGTTCTATGCAAACCTTTATGTTGCTGGTGTGTCAGCCAAGTTCATTCAGATATTGAAGTCAGCCTGTAAGAAATTAGTGAAACAATCAAAATTAGTTACTTAAAAATATATTGCATTTCTTAACTTGTGAAATTGCTTCTGAGACCAATTGTAAGCAAGGGCAGAAACCCCACAGAGAAAGAATGAGAACATTATGAAGATGCCTGAATAAACTTGACAAGAATTTAATAAATCACAATTTTTTTTCTTTCCCTAATTTAGTTTCACGGGATTTTTTCCTGAAGAACCAGATGACTTTTGGTAACCGTGTTTGCTGTCCAGCATCTTACCCTATCATTTTTTTTTCCCTATCATGTAACTAAAGGGCTATGAATTCTCTGTAACAAGACGAAGTTCTCAATAAACATCATGTGTGTAATCCCATGCAATTTTGTTTCTCCTAATTTTGTTTGGTACCATAGTATATAAACCAAAAATCATCTAGTCAAGTAACAGCTCTTTAGAATTTCTCCTTTTTAGGCTCTGCATGACATTAGAATGAGGTGCTCCCCCCCCCCCATTTTTGTTATAGGTTATACTTGCTCAAAAACTTATTGATCAAGTTCCAGGCTTACATTTTGAAAGTTTCAGCTGTGTTCCTTTCCTCTGCAGTTGGCTACCGGCCCCCCACCGCCGGTCACATAGGAGACCATCTTCCCCAACACTCTCCATCTGATCTATCCCTGAAAATAAAGACACAGGTTTTTCCATTGCAGGTGTTAGAAATAATACAGTATCCCCTCTGGTCTTCACTTTTCACATCTTTTTTCTTGAGAGTGAACACGACCCCTTCTTAGATGATGGTGTTAAAAAGAAGAGATAACATTTACTGAGCACTTTATGTGTACCAGATACGATTTTAAATCTTCATGTTTTAATTCATTTAATTCCTATCGATACGAAGCACATGTACCATGACTCTCCACATTTTATAGACGAGGAAATGCGAGGCACAGAGAGGTGAGTGACTTGATCAGGGTCTCATAGCCATCAAGTTGCAGAGTCAGGATGGGAGACCAATGCTGCCTCTAAGCTGAGCTGTTCTGGAGCTGCTCCTGTGGAGGACATCCCACAACTTTCAGTGAGTTGCCCATTGGATGTCCATTTCCAGAATGACCTTTAGAAACTACATATTGAAAAAAATAAGATAACTGCACTCTCACACAGCACCCGCAGAACTGTCTTCATCTTTGCACACCTGTACCTCACAAGGCAGCATCTTGTGTGTGGGAGCCTCTTGGAAAAGCTTTTATGACACTGCCAGTATAGTCACCAAAAAATGCCACACAGAACAGCCCTGAGGGTGACCACCAACCCAGATTGCCTGGACTGGAGGGGTTCCTTGGGAATGAGACAGGTGCTAACCGATGGTCCCCCAGCTCCTACCATGGGATGGGGTTGTCTGGTTCGTCTTTTCAGTGAGGTCCCAGAGATCATTGCCCTGTACAAATACAGATAGGGTTGTATTGGTTTTGCCAGTGATGCTTAGTAAAGGTCACTGAGTTCTCACAAAGTGGGAAGGTGATTTTTTGGTGTCTATTATTGCTTAGGCTTCTAAGGAATTTTTCATAGCAGTATACCTTTGGAAGTAATTGAAGAAATAAGTTGTCTAAGCCTCATCATTATCACACTTAGCATATCAGACATTGAGTCCTGTTGCCACTAGGAACTTGGCATCATCTGTTCCAGCACCACCTCATAATGTCTTTTTTTTTTCTTCCAGCTTTCAGATAAAATTGACCTGTAACACTGCATGAACTTAAGGTATAGAACGTGTTGATGAGGGGCACCTGCGTGGCTCAGCAGTTGAGCATCTGCCTTTGGCTCAGGTCGTGATCCCGGGATAGAGTCCTGCATCGGGCTCCCTACAGGGAGCCTGCTCCTCCCTCCGCCTGTGTCTCTGCCCCTCTCTGTGTCTCTCATGAATAAATAAATAAAATCTTAAAAAAAAAAAAAAGAACGTGTTGATGTGGTGCACTTACATGTTGCAAAATGATGACTACCATAGCAGACACCTGCATCATGTCACATAATCACCACTTACAGTTAAAACATAGCAACTTTTAAGTATATGATACAGGGATCCCTGGGTGGCGCAGAGGTTTGGCGCCTGCCTTTGGCCCAGGGCGCGATCCTGGAGACCCGGGATCGAATCCCATGTTGGGCTCCTGGTGCATGGAGCCTGCTTCTTACTCTGCCTGTGCCTCTGCCTCTCTCTCTGTGTGACTGTCATATATAAATAAAAAAAAATTAAAAAGTATATGATACAATATTATTAACTGTAATCACTGCTGTACGTCAGATTTTCTGAATTTACTCATCTTGTAACTGGAAGTGTGTGCTCTTTGACCAACATCTCTTCCCCACTCCCCAGCTCCTTGTAACCACCAGTTTAGTCTGTTTCTATGAGTTCACCTTTTTAAAATTCCCTATGTGAGAACATACAGTATTTGTATTTCTGTGCCTTATATCACTTAGCAGAATGCCCTCAAAGTCCATTTGTGTTGTTGCAAGGAGCAGGATATCCTTTCTCATGGCTGAATAACATTTCATTGTGTATATATACACACATATGTATATACATATAATATATATATATATACACACCACATCATCATTGCTCATCCATCCCCTGATGGTCACTTAAGTTTCCATATCTTGACTATTGTTCACACTAGTGCAGTGAACATGGCAGTCCACATATCTCTTAAAGAACCTGTTCTCATTTCCTTTGGATAAGTACCCAGAAGTGAGTTTGATGGATCATAGGGTACTTCTAGTTTCTACTTTTGAGAAACCTCTATACCATTAACCACAGTGGCTGCACCAATTTATATCCCCACCAACAGTGCATAAGGGTTCCCTTTTCTCCACATCCTCACCAACACTTGTTATCTCTTGTTTTTCTGTTTTTTTTTTTCTTAATTTTATTTATTTATTCATGGCAGAGAAAGAGAGGCAGAGACACAGAGGGAGAAGCAGGATCCATGCAGGGAGCCCGATGTGGGACTTGATCCCGCGACTCCGGGATCATGCCCTGAGCCGAAGGCAGACGATCAACTGCTTGAGCCACCCAGGCATCCCTATCTCTTGTCTTTTTGATGGTTACCATCCTAACTGGTGTGACATGATGTCTCACTGTGGTTTTGATTTGCATTCCACTGATGATGAGTAATGAGCACTTTCTCGTGTACAAGCTATGTTGTCTGGAAAAATGTCTGTTCGGGGTGCCTGGCGCATGACTTTGATCTCAGGGTTGTAAATTCAAGCCCCAGACTGGATGTAGAGATTATTTAAATAAAAATCTTTTAAAAGTGTTCAATTCTTTTTTAATCTGTTCAATTAAAAAAAATGTTAATTTTTTTTTTTTAGAGATTTTATTTATTCATGAAAGACCTAGAGAGGCAGAGACACAGGTAGAGGGAGAAGCAGGCTCCATGTGGGGAGCCCGATGGGGATATCAGGCCCTGAGCTGAAGGCAGACGCTCAACCACTGAGCCACCGAGGCATCCCTGCCCATTTTTAAATTTGATTCTTTTTTTGCTATTCTGTCATAGGAATTCTTTATGTATTTTGAATATTAACCCATTATCCAATACATGGTTTGCAAATACTTTCTTCCACTTGGACAGGTTGTTTTTCACTTTGTTGATAGTGCCGTTTGCTGTGCAGAAGGTTTTTAATTTGATGTAGTGTCACTTGTTTATCTTTGCTTTTGTTTTTGTGTCAAATCCAAAAAATCATTGCCAAGACTGATGTCAAAGAGCTTACCTCATATATTTTCTTCCAGGGATTTTACAGTTTGAGGTCTTACATTCAAGTCTGATCCATTTCGAGTTGCTTTTTGTGTATGGTGTAAGATAGGCATCCAGTTTCATTGTTTTGCATGTGCCTATCCAATTTTCCCAATACCATTTATTATAGTTTCTTCCCCTTTCCTTCTATATATCCTTGTATAGTCTGTTCATTTGTTGTAAATTAATTGATCATATATGCATGAGTTTATTTCTGGGCTCTCCATTGTGTTCCATTGATCTAGATGTCTGTTTTTAATACCACTACCATACTATTTTGATTATAGGTTTGTATTATAGTTTGAAATATGAATGTGTGATGCTTCCAGCTGTTCTTAAGTTTGCGTTAGCTATTTGAGGTTTTATATTGTGATTTCATACAAATTTTATGATTGTTCTATTTCTGTGAAAGAATGCCTTGGGAATTTTGATAAGGATTGCATTGAATATATTTATCACTGTGGGGAGTATAACATTTTAACAATATCCTTCCTGTCCATGAACATGGAATATCTTTCTATTTATTTGTATCTTCAGTTTCTCTAATGTCTTATGGTTTTCAGATCTTTCATTTCTTTGGTTAAATTTAGTCCTAAATATATATTTTTAAAGATTTTATTTATTCATGAGAGACACACGCACAGAGAGAGAGAGAGAGAGAGAGAGGCAGAGATACTGGCAGAGGGAGAAGCAGGCTCCATGCAGGGAGCCCGATGTGGGACTTGATCCCAGGTCTCTAGGATCAGGCCCTGGGCTGAAGGCAGCACTAAATCGCTGAGCCACTGGGGCTGCCCAAGTCCTAAATATTTTTTGATGCTATTGTACAAAGTCTTGTTTTCTTAATTTCTTTTCTGATGCTTCATTGTTAGTATATAGAAATGTAACTGATTTCTGTGTATTAATTTTCCATCTTGCAGCTTTACCAAATTCATGGTTTTAGCATTTCTTTTAGTAGAATCTTTAGGATTTTCTATATATAACATCATGTCATCTGCAGATAGAGACCATTTTACTACTACTTTTTGATTTGGATGGCTTTTTTCTTCCTTACTTAATTGCTCTGGCTTGGTATTCAAGGACTGTGTTGAATAAAAGTGGCAAGAGTGGGCATCTTTGTCTTGTTCCTGGTCTTAAGTGAAAAACTTAAGTTTTCCACAGCTGAGTATACCAGCTGTGGGCTTGTTGTATATGACCTTTATGGTGTTGAAGCATGTTTCTTGTATATTCAATTTTTTGAGAGTTATTATCATGAAGGGATGTTGAATTTGTGAAATGCTTTTTCTGCATCTAAGGGAATGCTTATATGATTTTTATCCTTTATTTTGTTGTAGTTCATGTGTTGTTGTTCCTGTTTCGGTACATTGATTGATGTGCAGATGTTGAATCATCCTTGAACTGTTAGAATAAATTCCACTCAATCATGGTGTTGTGTAATCCTTCTAATGTACTCTTGAATTCAATTTGCTGATATTTGGTTGAGGATTTTTTTCATCTATGTTTGTCAGGGATGTTGACCTGTAATTTTATTTTTTTATAAAGTTCTTATCTAATTTCGATATCAGGCCAATGCTGGCCTTGTAAAATGAGTTC